AACAAAGACCCAGCACTAGCTAGCTCTTGGATCAAGTGGGAACCCCTGGCAACAGACATCACTCAGTAACCACAGCAGGAACAGGGATCACTGGTGTCACTACTGCCTCACTTCCTTACCAATCTGTCTCACAACTTGAGAACTTAAAGGACATCTCTGTATTAGATTTACACAGATACAGATTCCCTGGTTGTTGTCATCCTCCAAAACTGATGTACACTAGACTTTTTAACAGCAGAAAAAGGAGGTACCTGTGAGTTCCTGGGAGAAGAATGTTGTTTCTATGCTAACGAATCAAAGGCTATTCATCAGAGAGTCAAAAATCTTGAACACTGAGCTAACAGGCTCAAAAAAAGGATTATAAACAAACAGTTTCTGGTCATTCTCCTGGGGCAACTGGACATCCTGGCTCATTCCCTTGCTTAAGCCACTAGTTCTCATTTTCCTTTTGTTAATATTCAGCCCTTGCCTACTTAGGTGCCTCACAGAATTTCTTCAGAACTGAGTTCAGGCTTTCACCAGACAGTCAGTATGCCAACTACTGGTAGAACCCACATAAATTATAACCCTGTGGCTACTAGTGATGTCCTATGAGGCTATGCCTAAAAGGGGGGATCAAAGAGGGAAATGAAAGAAAAATAAACCACGCTGCGACCATCCCCCTCCAAGGGCTCTACCCTGGGCCCCACCAGTCAGATGACATTATGTTTTTACTTTGAATTTTTTTTAAAGGGGAAAGGTTTATTTAGCTCACAGTTTGTAGAGGTTTCATTCCATAGTTGGCTGGCTCCACGGCAGACTGACACTTGTTAGCTGGGCATTGAGAGGAAAACACTTCATAGTGTTCACAACCACAAGATTGCAACAGTTTCTGTGCCTGGGCACCCTCCTCCTTCCTTTCCCATAGGAGCTGCTTCATAGCCTTGTTACATGATGTTCCAGCCTGGCTGTAAACCTGTCACCCTTAAGTAACTGCCTTTGGTTTGACCTTTTCCTGCCACAAACTCTATAAAAAGCTCTGTAATGTAATGTACTCGGAAGAGTCGGTGGTCACCTGCTGAACACAGCACTACCACTGGAGAGCTGGAACTCTTCCAGGAGATGGAGAAGTGGCCAGGCAACTCCAGTGTGGACTAGTGTGTCTGTTCTCAAAATATGCAAAATACAAAAGGGTCTGCACAACCCAAATGTAGAGCAGAGGAGACAGCTCCAGGGCAGTGACCTCTAGGTTGAGAATCTCGGTTGTGGGAAGCCCTGTAATTGGCTGCCATCTTATATCTGCAGGCCACACCACCTTAACTCCCTCTAGGAGTTAAGTTTGGTAGTTAAGCAGCATCTTGCCTAGCTTGTTTGGCCTATTCAGGATTATGTTAATGAGCCTGCTCATTCATTCAGCACCAAGTACTGAATCATATCTGGTAGCTGGAGGTCAGGTTCCAGCCACAATCTGCCCTCCAGCCTGTGGTTCTTTAATCCCAGGCTCCTGTTCTTTCCACTCAATTAGTGGCCTCCCAATGGCTGATGGGGACACCTGGATTGTGTTAAGAGTATTATGGCGCAGTAGAGAAGTAGAAGTATGAAATGAATAGGTTTATTGAGTTGAAGATGTAGAAAGGAGCACACAACGCATAGCAGTTGGGCTGTCTCCTTCGACTGGATACAGAGAGGCAAAGGGTTGTATGATTTCTGATTGGAAGTGGCGCATGGGGCAGATATTGATGACATGTGAAGAACCAATTGGAATTCTCTGTGCATGCAAACAGGAAGGGGAATTGCAATTAGGGCTGAAGACAAAGAAGTGGTAAGCTTTCTCGCTTTGACCTTCCACCACGTTAGACCACCGTCATAACCTTATAGTAATTTATACCAGGGCAGGAACCTTTCATGTTGTAGAATGTGAGTTACCATCACTGGTACAGGGGAAAGCAATGGTTTTCAGCAGAAAACTGTGGATGCCAGGCAGGGGCCCTGAGAAACTGAGAGAGGAGGTGGCTCTGCTCCTGTATCCCTCTGTGAACTTGCCCAGGCATGACCACAGCTCATGCTAACTGTCATCTCGCTGGCCTTGTCCTGCTTACTGTCTCTACTTTTAGAGAAAAACCTAATTATAGTCTGTTTTTCTAAATATCTATTGATTTTGCTGTATCTTGTCTAACAAGAGTGGGGAGCCTTTCTTGTTTGGGCTTTTAGAATTTTACATCATTTTTTTGCATTCCTGAACCACTAGTTGGTAAGTTTCTTACCTTCTTTTTGGTTTCTGTTAGTAGTTATAGATTTAAATTGCATTTTAATTTTATTGTTTCTCATTCACATGATTTATGTGTCCTGAACTTCTCTAAATTCTATTGATTGTAACTTTTACCTCTTTTGATCTTCCTGCATTTAGTTTCTTTTGAATTCAGATATGTTAGTCTTTGTTTAAAAAAATAAAATTTCAAATTTAACTTTTAACATGTTTAATCTTTTTACTCAACTCCATTTAGTCTGTGAATTTTTAGGGCTCTCTGGATTGTATTTCTCTGCTTTTCTTAACTCAATTTTAATTTTGTGATGATTCACCTTTGTCGGGTTCCCTGGATCAGCTTTGCAAATAATCGTCTCATTCTAATTATATTACAAATTTTAAATTATGTAAGATTTGGTTCTTAATTTGTAAAAACACTTTTCACTCCTCAGTGATTGTACGTTCGAGCCCCTCAACAATCCCTTTGGGCCAAAGAGCAGAGGGAAACTGCTGTCACAAAGGAGAGAGACAGGTAGAAAAGCTGAGACCTACCCTCTATGCATCCCCATGGGAAAGGTCTGGCCAGGTCTTCATTTTAGCTTCAAGTAATTGAGAAAAAGTATGGTGGTCTTGAAGGGTCATTTGGGTTTATTGCAGAAAAGATGTTTCCCCCACAAGCTATGAAAATTAGTGTAGTTGGCCATTGGATTAGGAGGGACACATTTGTGGCTAGGAGTGGGAACTACCTGATTTGTACTCCCTCTTCCTGAAGGTTTCCCATACTAACCACCCTGGTACATTTATTTTAGCATAGGAACAACTATAACCATCTCCTGCGTCAAGATGTGTATATCCCCTTTTCACACACTCTAGCCACACAGACTGGGAATCAGTGTCCAAGAGTCAAATAAATCTCTAAACAACCAGCCTGCCCTTTGAGCAGTTCTTGGTGGATATTAGTAACATTGGCCATGAATTCCTGAGAAAATAACATTGTTTGCATAAAAATGTGCAATACTGGGGCTGTATGAACCTTAGTTTTTATGTTTTCATGACAAAATCAGTGTCTCAGACCCTGACGCAAGGACACCAGCAGGCTTATTCAGTGTGTTTAACTCCACTCTTTAATATTCTGCCTTGTGATGCTCCCTACTGCAAAATGTGGGTCCCTAGATGGTACCATTCTATAATGAGACATCTTTCTGTCCTTCTCCACTTTTTTCCCCACCCTCTCTCCCTTCAACTTTGCGTAGCACGGGGTAGTGAACTCAGGCCCTTCACACTGAGCTACATCCTTTTACCTGTTTTTTCTTTTGGGACAGGGTCTAAGTTGCTTGCTTCAGCTTTCTACAGTACTGGGATGACAGGTGTGTGCCACCATGCATGGCTTATTTTTTGTTTTGTCTTGGCCCTTTTATAGCTGGGATTAATCCATTCATGAAGGTAGAGCCCTCGTGGCTCTTTGCTTGACCTCTCCTCCTAACTCTGCTGAACTGGAGATTAGGTTTCCAGCACATGCTTTTATGGGGGGCACATTCAAACCACTGCTAGCACAGATGTACTGTTCTACTTGGTCTGCCCGTCAGCTTTTCACTGACCCTAGAGAAGAAGGGTTTCTCTGTGGGAGAAACAGAAACAGCTGGCCTCATCCTTGTACATTTTCCTGACCCACTGTGAAGTCTTGCTGCAGCTTCTCCTTGAGTTTTGACCTTATGCGCTGTTGCATCACAAAACCTCCCTCTTCCTATCTCTAGAATTCCTATGAAGTTGACCTTCAATCAAGTGGACCATGAATAGACAACACCAGCTCCAGCCACGCATGCTCCCTTATGCAGGGAGACAGGGGTTCCCTGTATGGTTCCCTCAAACTGCTTTTGCAATTGAGAAAAACGTCCTGCCCAGAGTGGTTGGGTTCTCCAATGGGGAGGACCGATTCTCACTCTCCAAATACCCCAACCCACCCCACCCCACTCCAGGATGGTTGTGAGAAGGTTCCCAAAACAGAGTGAGCTCTGGTTTGATGTGTGGCACACTTCCCTCGCTGGAAGGCACTGGGGAAGTCTATGATGGAGTTGGAGGGAAGATCCTTCATGAGCTGGGTACCGCCAGAGAGGAACTGATGGTTTCTTTTCCTGGGAATCATTTTAGTGAAATACGGAAAGTTAACACACTTGTGACCTTTAAACTAAGGGGTATCAATTCTTAACTTGCTGAGCATAGGGGCAAGGATCTTGGGGCCACTAATTCAGTGCCTATGATAGGGGAACAGCATCCCAGGACCTTCGGCCCTGCGACCACTGGATGAGGCCTTGACACTCTGGCTCACCAAGTTACCCTCTGGAGATAGAGATTCCCATCTGACTTCAACACATCTATGGCCCAGGATGGTAAGACCCAGGCCCTGCTCCTCTTCAAGGCCTAAAGCCAAGAACTACAGACCTCCTGCTGAGGCTTCCTGAGATGGGGCACTCAGCCATGAGGACCCAGAGGCCCTGCTAAGGTCTCCTATGATGGGGGCACTCAGCTATGAGGCCCTCAGGTCATTTTCCTGTACAAGTATAAAAACGATTGGTTCCCAGATTTATAGCAAGGAGGGTCTGCAGGGACCATCTCTGGAACCTTCTGGAAAGCAGGACAGGAAACCAGAGATGAGTGGGAGGGGAGGTTTGCCTGCTTTCTGCTCAGGAACACCTTGCACTAATGGCTTTGAAGCATCTCTACCCCTTGAGGGCTGTGATGCTGTTGAAGGCTGAAGTAGATAGAAAAGCAGGGTTGCTTATTAGGATTAAAGAACATATTTACTTTATTTTAGCTTCTCTTGAAGGACTTACAATGAAAAAGACCCCTCTGGCTCCAAACATGAAATAAAACTGATTCACATGAGGCTCCCCTTGGCCTCCAATTGTGCTGACATCACAGTAAGGATCATAAGGAAAAAGGCCTCAGGAAGGTATGAACCTCAGTCTGGGCCATCCAGGTCCTGCATCGCTTTCTTCTCAAGCTGTAGAACCTGAAGAGAGAAGTCCACAGTCACCATGCAGACTCAACACCTGTGCAGCCGATGGATAGTGGCCCGCATCCCTGGCACTGAGAACCCAGGTTACCAAATGGTATCTGCTGAAATCACAGTGGGGATGGCAGCTTTCTGGAGGTCACTGGGTATGAGAAGATGACAGGTGATTTTATCTTGAACTCTTTATTTCTAGGTAGGAGCCAAGCTCTGAACTTCTGTTAAAGAAGCCAGAGTTGGGCAAGGCTCTTGCTTCCTGCTCTGGGTGACCCAATGCCCAGCCTGTCCTTGAGGCTCAGCTGTCCCCTTCCTAGAGGTCTGCTGGGATGCAGGATGGCCCAGAAGGTGGACATTCACTGTTGTGGCCAGGTGTGGGGTTCATCCAGGAGCAGTGGGGATGCAGGGCAGCAGCATCTTTCTGCCCAGCCCTTTGCTTCTCACTGACTTCTACTAGAACCCTCCCTTCCAGCAAATCAGCAGGTCACAGAATCTCCTTGTTGTAGTAAGAATTCCCAAAGACTTCAGCCCCATGGTCAGTCCTCAACATCAGCACCCTGGCACAAAGGTTGGGGTCCCTCTCTGCTGGGAGAAGGTGAAGGTGGCATTCTGGGCATGGCAGGATGTCCACAGCATCCCTGCACTCTATCTGCTAGATGCCAACAGCACTAACTGCATCCTATGATGACTCAACGTATCCCCAGACATTGCCTGAGGCCCTGGGGGTGGGGAGCAACACCCCTGTAGACAGCACATAGTGTCCGCCTGGTCCCACCTTCAGTCTGCACATCAGCTGCTCAGGGTACCTCTGCTGACTGTAAGGCTGTCAAAGGCTCCTCCAGCCTTCTGAGACTGTGGCCGCACAGAGCACTCTACAGTTCGCCATTTTTACACCGCCTACACGGTCCGTAGGCCACTATTTGGCCATCTCCCCTGGGCTAGAAATAGGTCACATCTAACTTGCTCCCTGTGGATCTGCACTGGACCTAAAAAAGGGAAGGAAAGGAAGACCTACACTTATTTTTGTAGTGACTTTATCAGTCCTTCCCTTATTCTACTATTAATTAGTAAAAGGGAAAATGGGGTGGTTTAAAAGACGCGTAGCCATCTGGAGACTCAGCTGTTTGGAAGTGACAGTGATTGGCACCACTCTGATAAAGTGATACACGGCTACTAACTTTAGTACACTCAATGCTAGTAAGTGCGGCACACTCAAAAATAGCACATGCTGAACGCCGATTCACTCCAGATGTACTTGGAAATTCGCACAACCGCTATGAAAAACACCCAAAGATGGGAATTTCAGAGTCCATTGGGGACGCATGGCTACAGGAAACACAGCCTATCTACACAATGGAATACTATTCTGCCTTCAAAAGAAGGGCATCCTGTGGTTTGAAATGACTTTGACACACTGAAAGGACATTAGGCTATGTGAAACAAGCCAGGCCCAGAAAGACAAATATCACCGGGTCTCATCCATACATGGAATCTAGAGATATTATACTCTTTCTAGAAAGTAGAGTGGGGAATTGTGGTTCCCAGGGACTAAGCGAGAGGACAGGGGAGACGGTGCTCAAAGGCTGCAACATTTCAGTGAGGCAGAAGGGAGACGTTCAATGATAAATTACACCACACAACGGGCTGGGGATTTAGCTCAGCGGCATAAAAACCTGCCTTACAAGCAGGCGGGCATGAGTTCGATTCCCGGTACCGATTAAAAAACAAGAAAAAAGGAAAGAATATTACACCACACGGAGACTGGAGCTAATGACAATGCACTGTACACAGAAAACTATGACTAAAGTAGACTTTAAGCGTTCTTATTTCAAAAAGAGAGTTGAGGGGCTGGGGATTTAGCTCAGTGGTATAAGTACCTGCCTTGCCAGTGTATGGTCATGAGTTCGATCCCCAGGATCAGTAAAAAAGAAAAAGACAAAAAAAGAGAGAGAGTTGATACATGTTGTTTGACTTAGGCACTCCACAATGAGTATATACAAGGGCTGATTAGGAGACACGGTGAACATTTTACAAATTATTACAATAAAACACAACACTGCCATTAATGCTCCTTAAAATACTCTCCCTTACTTTGAATACCTTTATCTCACTGCTTTTGCCACTTTTTGAAATAGTTTTGGATGTCCAATTTCATGAGATTTGATCTTAAAAATACTGACTTTTCATGCTGAGAGGCAGGTAAGAAGAAAGAAAGGAGGAAGAGAAGGAGGAGGAAGAGAAGGAAGAGGAAGTGAAGAAGGAAGAGAAGGAGGAGGAGAAGAAGGAGGAGGAGGAAGAAGAGAAGAAGAGGAGGAAGAAGAAAGGAAAAATATTACGATGTGTCCTCATCTACCTGTTCACTAAACCTGGCACCACACAACTTCTGCTCTTCCCCAAAGCCAGAATCACCACGAAAGATAAACATTTTGAACTAGTTCAAGGCACCAAGGCAGCTGTGACAGCACAACTAAGAGACACCCATGGAGAGGACTTCCAGGACTGCTTCAGAAAGTGCCAGGAATGATGGAATAGGTATGCTTGAAGTGAGGGGCAGTATTTGGGGAGGATTAATGGCAATGTGGTTTTACTGCATAAATTTCTAAAAAATTACACTATATTTTAAATAGCATGTGGTATTTCCAAGTATCATGCTGCATACCATAAGCACATATATGCAATTTTTGTCCATTAAGAAATTAAAAAGGAGGGGGTGGGGATTTAGCTCAGCCGCATAAGCGCCTGCCTTGCAAGCAGGCAGTTGTGAGTTCGATCCCTGGTACCGATAAAAACGAAAAAGACCAAAAAAATTTAAAAAAACAAAAACCTTCCCATATACTTGCTCCTTTGCAGAAATGAGCATAGTAAAATATGCCTCTGGGGCCGGGGATTTAGCTCAGCGGCATAAGTGCCTGCCCGGCAAGTGTGAAGTTATCAGTTTGATTCCCAATACAAAAAAAAAAAAAAGACCTCTGTGCAGAGAGAAGTTCTTGATCCCCAAAGCTCATGCCCGCTACACACAGAGAAAGGCACTTGGCAAGTGACACACCTGAGTTTCAATGCACCGGAACTGCCACGGCCAGCGTGTATTGTACAGGAAGGGCCGCAGATCAAACCTATTGTCATCAGGGCTATAGTTCTCCGCGTGATAGGCAGGTGTGAGCGTGGTCATCTTGTGTCTGTTCACGGAGTACTTCCAGAAGAATCGCTTCACCTTGTCAGCCACCTGGTGGGAGCATGACACACAGGTTTCAAGTAAGCGAGTCCAGAAAGACCTGAAGTCAGAATTCTCACACTGGACAATGTAAGAAAGCAGCTAGTGGCTGACAGCCCTGTGCATGGGCTTCCCTGGTGGAAGAAAGGACAGTGCCAGGGCTGAGGGGTGGAGTCCCCGGGTCCAACCCTGCTGTGTTTTGGGACACCGAGTGGGCCCACAAACATGTTTCATGAGTTGCCAAGGGATCAGCACATCTGTACACTTCTGTCCAACAAGGCTCACAATGAACAGAATGCACAGTACCACATTCTGACCTGCCTCTATGCTGCCCTTGCAGAAGCAGGGGCTTGGTGCATGTGTGCACCTGGTATAGCTGAGACTCACTGGCGTTAACTCAGGGCAAACTGAGGCCCCGAGCTCATGAAAAGCGAGCAATGGGAAGTATTACTGCATGGGACCCAGCAGGCTCAGTGGACTGCCGCACACACAGCTTTGCCTGCTGGCCTTCTCTGCAGGACGTCATGTGTAGCCTCACCTGTCGTGGGGTACAGGTGTCCTTCCACATGGTGAGGAGCTTGCAGAACATGCTGTAGGGCCCCGCCTTCGCTATCTTCCTGAGCCTCCCGTACACAGAGAGCTCTGAGTATGTCATCCCCATGTCATCCTGCAGAGGACAGAGATCCATTATAGGACACCATGAGCTAGAGCCTGAAGGGACCACATTGTTCCTCAGTGGTGGGCACTGGAGGCTCAGGGTATGAGAAGATTCCCTAGGGCCTGAAGCAGAGGACAGTACTACTTCCCAGCACTGGCTGGCTAAACAGGTGGTGTGATTTGGAAACATGACCAAGAACCAGATATTGGGTTTGAGGACTACAGAGGGGACCTGTGGCCACCAGAGGACATGTTCATCTCCTGAGCACAGGTTCCTGTGATGTTATTTGGAAAAAGGGGTCTTGACAGCTGTCATTAAGTTAAGGACCTTGAGATGAGGTGACGCTGCCAACATCATGGAGCCGAACCATGAATGCTTCAAGACACATTTGAAAGGATCAGCTCCATACCATGGCTCACACCAGTCACTGCCTTTTCCACTGTCACAGCTGCCAAGCCCCAGAGTATCACCACAGTGACAGTGACACTGGCCTTCAATAGTCCACAGCAACTGGGCCCTCGCCTCTGGCCAGTAACTGTGGGGTCTGCAGTGATGTGGCCCAATTGGCCATGCTGGCATTCCCTCAGGCCTCAGTCCCAATGTCACCTTCCCAGGGCCCTGTTCTGACCCACATATAAGAACACTGCTATCACCTCTGTCTCTCTTACATCCAAAGCACTTATAGCCTACGGGCCATCCTGGTTAAATCCTTCTTGTCTATCACCTCCAGGGAACATCAGCATTTTAAGATCAGTAGCCACATGTTTCTCCCCTGTGGAATCCCTGGCACTGAACAGGTTCTGGGCACAAGAAGCTGTGTATTTGGTTTCTTTGCATGAAGTACAGATTTCCTAGGGTGATATCTTAGCTCCTCCAATGCAACAATAGCAGGTGGAGACTTTAATACTGCACTTTTGGTATGAGAACAGCAGATACCAGCAGCAAGGGTCAGGGGCTAGGGGACACTGCAGACCAACTTCCCAGCAGCACTGAAGAGCCCTCATCTCACGAGCGCTAAAACACTGAACCCTACAAAGTTGGGGTGGCCTCACATGCTTGAGACTCTGGGTTGATCCTCTACACTGACATGCACAAAAATAATCCTTTGAAAAATCCCTTCAACCCAGTAAAGGCATGAGAACAAAGTGGACCTTAACCTCACGCCATACACAAGAGTTGACACAGTAAGACCACAGACCTGAATGTAAGGGCTAAAACTTTTAGAAGAAAATACAGAAGTCAATCTTTTGTGTTCAAAGGAGGCTGGAGGGTCAGTCCCCAGAGACGTCTTCATTAAAGCTGTGAACTATGGCTGGCGGCCCTGATGATTCAAGGCCAGTGTGAAACAGGAGGTGCCCGAATCTTCTCCAAGGTTTCACGGAGCAAAGAAAATCCCTCCCGAGTCAGGGACAAGGGGAAAAGGCACTGTGACAGTCATCCCATTACCTCGTCTGTCTGGGACACCTGACCATCAGCCAAGGGCTCCAGCTCTGCGGTGGCTGGCGCTGAGAGGATGCTGTGACCAAGACACAGAGGACAATCACCAGGCTGCTGCTGTGCTCGTTGTCAGTGGGGAACCCCAGACCCACTGTCCCCCAGCAGGTGGCCACTGCCTGCAGAGTACAGCTGAGGTTCATGGTGCATGGTGTCCTGATGGGAGGCACAGCACAGCATCTGTCTGAGGACAGGGCTCCCCGTGCCCTGCGGATGCCTAGGAGCACCCTGGCCTCCACCCACATGTGGCTGGCAATATATTCCCTTGTGACAACTCCAAGTCACCAGGGAAGACAGCAAGCAGAAGGGCATTCCCCATGCAGGAACGATGTGGGAAAGGCCTAGACTGGCTTCAGGTATTAAATCAATCAAGAAACACAGTTAGGAGCTAGGTATGGTGATGGACACCTATAATCTCAGCTCTCAGGGCATCAAGGCAGATGGACTGTCATGAAGTTTGAGGCCAGCCTGGACTAAATAGTGAGACACTGTCTCACAAAACAAACAAAGAAAAAAATTAAAATAAAAAAAAAGTGGGCCTGGGGATACGGCTCAGTGGCCAGCACCGGCCTGGCAAGGGGACAGGTCTTGAGTTCAAGCCCCAGAACCAGAAAATAAAGTAAAATAAAAAATGAAAATAAAAAAAGAGGGAAAGATGTGGACACTAGAATAAGAAATTACAAAATTAAAATCCATAGCCTAGAGAGATAAGAAATTTGGGATAAGGAAAATTGGGACAAGAATTGTTTTGCTATTGTTATAAACTTGCTAGGGCTATTTAACTCTTTAAGTCATCATATAGTACCTTGGGTAAAAATAAATTTTACCTATAATCCCAGTATTCTGGGAGGCTGAGGCAGGAGGATCCCAGCCAAGATAATTTAGCAATTTAGTGAGACTCTGTCTCAAAATTAAAAAAAAAAAAAGAAAAGGGCTGGGTATGTAGCTCGGTGTAAAGCCCCGATTTCAATTCCCCATACCACAGGGCAAAACAAAACACGATACAACACAAACCAGGCATGGTGGTATACAACTGTCATCCTGGCTGCGGCAGGAGGATAACAAGTTTGAGCCCTTTAAACAACTTAGTTACTTAGCCAGACCCTAGCTCAAGATAAAAAAAAAAATTAATAAAGGGCTGGGGATGTAGCTCAATAGGAAAACCCTAGGTTCCAGCCCCAATAATGGGAAAGAAAGGAAGAAAAAGGAAATATCCTTGAGTACCAGTGCTTGCAAGGGTGTCTTCTACGTCAAATTGGTGGAAAAGAGGCGGCAAAGGCAGGAGGCAGACACAGACCACCACCTGGCCGGGCAATGACAGACAGGGTGACCTGGCTGAGGAACGGTAGAGGAAGGGCAGCTGCTCTCACCAGGGGACGTGGAGCTATGCACGGAGGCCAAGTGAGGTGAGCGGCCTGGTGGCCTGAGCCCCAGCCCCAGCCCAGGGGGTGCATACTCACCGCTGCAGCGCGGGGAGCTGGAAGTGCTCCATGCAGAACTGGATGAAGGCTCTCAGGTCAGTCTTGCTGATTCCGCCGATGGGGTTGATGTCTGCACTGGAGCAGTCGTACTTGGTCAGGTAGCCGAGGAGACTGAGAGAAAGAGAAAGAGAGAGAGAGAGAGAGAGACAGAGAGAGAGAGAGAGAGAGAGAGACAGAGACAGAGACAGAGACAGAGACAGAGAGAGATTGAGATTGATTCCCAAGGGTACTCCAGTCCTGCAAAGTCTTCCCACTCTGGCCAAGTGCAGACTCACTTCTTCCAGAAGCCTAGAATCCAGAAGCCTGGCAGACTCTGGGGTCCTGGAGAAGGCTGCACGGATAGGAAAGGTTGCAAGGGGGAGAGGCAGGGAACAGTCTGGGCCAGCAAACAGGCTTGGGCATCCCCAGCACCCAGCAGGAGACTCTCATGCTCCTGTCTCCAAGGTACTGTCATATCCCCTCTCTCCCAAAGCCTTCCCAGTGCTGTGGATGCGTGTGTGGGCTCCCTACAGAGCCAGCCTTCACCTGGCTCCTGCTCTCACCTCCCCCTCCGCAGTGCCCCTCTGCTCGCCTTGTCACACCAGCTTCTGAATACAAGACAGTGCCCGCCCTTGTTCCTGCACTCTTCAAAGTCAACTTCTGGAAGAGCCGACTCTGAACTCTCTCCTGGGCCTGCCCTAGCAGGTCTCCCATCCCTCATTCTGAGGATTCCTGGGCTGCTAGGACTGGTCCTCCCTCCTGCTGCGGTCTTACCCCAGGATATCTGCACAGGCTGTATCTGAACCACACTCCCACCCTCACTGCCTGCAGGCCTTTACAAAAGTGCTTCTCAGAGAGGCCTTCCCTGACCAACCTTAGACCTGCAGACTCACAAAACTTCCAAACTCCTTTTCCTTACTTTGATTTTCTCTGTAGATGTTTCATGGATATATATACACTATTGGTTTTGCTATTATCTGTTTGTTTCTATTAAAGTAACACAGGAATTCTTCCTCTGTTCTGTTCACAACACCAAGAAGAATGCCTGAAATACAATAGTTGTTCAACAAGTACCTGACAAAAGAACCAACAGGATTGGGGCTGGGGATTCATCTCAGCAGCATAAGCTCCTGCCTGGCAAGCGCGAGGTCATGAGTTCGATCCCTGGTACCACCAAAAAAAAAAAAAAGGAACCAACAGGAATGCAACTGAATGAAAAATTAGAATTAGAAGCAATTAGAAAATTAAAATTTAGAAAAAGAAAAATCTTACAATACTATAGAAAATTATAAACTTGAGATTCTATTCCAGAATATAAAGAAAAATAGTAATGGCTATTATGGAATGAGAAGAGCATAATGCATGAACAGATGGAGAAGGCAGAAAACATAAACAGACACAACAAAAATGTGAAACCGACAGGACAGAACAAACACAACTAAAACATAATAAAAGTTTTTTTAATCTTAGAGAACCTGTCTACTTATAAGGAAGGCTTATCAGAAAAAGATGATAAAAAAGATGAATGTCTAATAGATGTTCTGAGATGTTTCTTTATTGTCTACATATAGGTCACTTAACAGGGCACTTCTTAATTAGTAAGCATTCTTGTTCCATCAAGGCATCCAACAACTCGAAGACAAACATACACCTCGGATTTACAATCCACTCAGTCCACAGTCAATCAACTAAGATAAAATGTCCACATATCTGTTGACTTCATAATGCTCTCTGATTAGTGGCCCTCAGTAGAACAACATTAGATCAGAGTTAATTATGTTTATTCTCAAATCATTTGAGTATTTATTTTCCTCTCTGAATAGTCACTGCAGTATATGGTACATGCTAAAATCTGTACATGCTCAGAGTGCAACTACCTTGGGAAAAATATTCAAGTTTTGGTAAAATTTTAAATACCAAAATATAATGGGTAAAAGTTATGAAGAGAAAATGTTATAATAATTTTACAACAGGTCAAATCCTTGTTTATCTACAAAAGTAAAACTGTATTCTCCATTATGTCAGGGCTCAGAGCATATCTGATTCCTCTACATCCCCATCAAACAAATAATGCCCTTGGGCCGGGGGATACAGTTCAGTGGTACAGTGCTTGCCCAGCAAGCACTGAATTCAATTGCTGGTACCAGTAATAATAATAATAATACCCTAACACAAGCACTGGAGGCAAAGGAAAGGAGAATTAACAAAGTAGGCATAGAGGGCAAGCATTTTTAGCAGATATAGTGTCGGTTTTATATTAAAGAAATATGCTTCAAAAGTAAATAAAAATAGAATACATTTGCAGACATGCAAAGATACTAGAGACAGTACAACACATTATAGATAAACATGAAGAATGGATGTGCACATGGATGCTTGGTGGGAGGGTGTAGGAGCAGGTAGATAGGTAGATGGATGGATGAGTGGATGAATGGATGGGTGAACAGGCAAGAGGATGAGTGAATGAGCAGGTGGATGGTGGGTGCTTGGATGCATGAATGAGTGGATGGACAGATGAATAGACAGATGGACAGGTGGTGGGTTAGCTGACAGACAGATAGATCAGTGCAAAGGCTAATAAATGACAGTTTTACAACTTTCTCAGCTCATAAGAAGAAACTAAGAACAGCCAAGAGAACAGTTGAGAGGAAGAGATGCTCACTTAAGAGAAGTCGGGAAACTGAATCTAAGGAAGATCTCCCATCCTCCACTGCTAGCAGCTTGAATTTTATCTGGAGATAAAACAGCATCTGGAGGTATTTTCTTTCAACAAGAAAGCACAATGAGAAAGAGAATATTTTCAGTGTCCATCAAAATGAACTATCTGGTTTCGAGGTGAAAATAAGAGGCAAAGAAATGATGTACAGTGTAGTGGAGAAGCCAGGAAAAGGAGGCAAGCCCACACATAGCTAGTGGGGATACAGTCACACTGGCCACAGGAAAGAAGGACCACAGGATGGATGACACAGGTGCCGGAGCTGGTTTGGGCTGGAGTCAGAGAGAGCAGCATCAGGCTAATCTGCATGCTCCAGTCATTCTGCAGAAACAATGATGCGATGCGTACCAAACTTCCATGACTCTCCTCCTTGTATATTTCACAGACAGGACATGTACTGATCAGAGCCTGTAGGATGAAGTCTCCAATCCCCAGGCCCACACAGCAGGAGGTATGCAATAGGCAAGCAAATGAAGCTTCATCATATTTACAACTGCTCCCCACGGCCCACATTATCATCTGAGTTCCACCTCTAGTCAGATTAGTAGTGGCATTATATTCTCATAGGACAGCAAACCCTACTACCCATGCACATGCGAGAGATCTAGGCTGCGTGTTCTCTATAGAAATGTAACCCCCAGTGACGCAAGGTGGAGCTGATGCTGTGAAGCTAGCACTGAGAAATGGCTCAAATACAGATTAAAACTAATAGACAATTTTGATTGTACGGGGACAATAATCAATTGCCTACAGATTCATATCAAGACTATCAGTGATTGGCAAATGACAAGCTGCATCTGTTGGCAAGATGTAAGTCAGAAACTAATCCTTTAGTCGACGTGTAGCCCACCAGCTATTTTATTTACCACTTCCATGTGCACTTCTTTTCTGCACTGTGCAATTGTTTCAGTCACAGATGTTGTAAGCCCACAGGCTAACTCTAGCCAAAATGAGTCAAAAACAAATGTCACTGGACAGCTGCTTTGAAAAGCAGGGAAGACCCAATGATGACACAGCAGAAAAGGCTAAGGCTGGCAACAAAAACAAAGTTGTCTTTTAAAGAAAGTTCCAAGAGTGTTACTTAAATTACAGGTTCACTCCAACAAGTGATTTACATTCTCTGAGCCTGCTTTCTATAGTATGTGGCAACCAGCTATCCAACAAAGCTGTAAAATCTTAGTAACTGCTTCTCCATGTGAAGAAAAGGTATCTTGCATTAAAAGACAAGTCTTTGGAGTATTTCAAAAGAAAAAAAATGTGAACATGAAAAACAGAAGTAATTATTGAAGGCCCTTAACCAAATGTGCCAGCACTGACAGCATCAGGCTTAGTGGCTGACTGCATTGCTAACGCTAGGAATCCCTTTACTACTGGTGGAGAGTGATCTGGCCTGCGGCTAAGGACATTCATTGCAAACTTTTAGGAGACACTGTGGCTTAAAAGGTGGCACATGTTACTCTTTTGGCTAGCATCATAGCTAGGCAAACTGATGAAACAGCAAAAGAGCAACTCTGTGGAGCAACTCTGAGGCAGGATTAATGAGCCACGGTGGTAGAAAATTCAGATTGATGAGTCTACCAATGTTGATAATAAAGCTTGTTTTTGTGGGACCTCTTTTTCAGGAGGATGTGTATGAAGACATATTAGGTGCACTTTTGTGGCCAACCAACACCATAGATTCAGAACTATTTAAGTCTTCAAACGATTATAATATATCAAGAAAACTGAAATGGTCACTTTGTGTCAGTATATGCATGGATGGAGCAGCTGCCATTATGGAGCAACTTCCTGGTTTCACAACGCAAATCAAAGAGGTCACTTCAGAATGTGAGTTCATGAGTCTATATCATCCATATAGAAAGTCTGGTTAGCCAAAAATATCACCTGAACATAACAATGTTTTGTAGGATGTGACCAAAAATCCATGTCTATGAGGAGATGGATGCAGGGTGCACACATCTTCTCTTATACACAGAAGTGAGATAACTGTCTAAAAGAATATCACTGGTTAGAATTTTTCAGTTGTGAGAGCTGCCCTAAAAATTTCTTTTAGAAAAACAGTCATCACTGGCAGCATTTTTCAGTGATACACAATAAGTCTCAAAACTCACTTACTTGTGTGACATATTCAACCTGCTCAGTGAACTCAATCTGTCACTTAAGGAGAGAATAACAACTGTGTTCAAGTTGGCAGATAAATTGGCTGCATTCAAAGCCAAATTGAAATTATGTGGCAATGGTGAACACTGATTTTTAAAAAATATGTATTTCAAACATTAGCAGAGATTTTGAAAGAGACTAAACCAGGGCCTTCTTTCTTTCTACTACTGTACGAGTGCCTATCTCATCTTTCAAAAGAACTTGAGCATTATTTCCCAACCATGAGACATGTGTGAATAAGCCAGGTGAATCAATTTCATCTGGTTAGAAGAGGATCAACTGCCTGAGACTGAAAATGACAGTGTCCTTCAAAGTATGTTTGAAATAACTTCAAATATCCGTATGTTCCACATTAAAGTCAAGACAAAATATCCTGAAATTGTTACAGAAGCACTGAAAAGCCTGCTTCCATTTTCAACATCCTGTCTTTATGAGGCAGAGTTTTCTGCAGTAATAGCCACCAAAATAAGATTATGGAGCAGACTGGACCTAAGCAACACACTTCAGGTGTCAGTGACGCCCATCATCGTCAGATGGGACACCTACCTAGTTGAAAAAAAAAAACAAACTCAGAGCTCCCACTGATCATATGTTATGGTGAGTAATAATAGAAATAAATACAGTATCCTTGAATCATCCTGGTATCATCCTCCAATCCCAATCTGTGGAAAAATTATCTTCTATCAAACCAGTCCCTGGTGCCAAAAGATTGAGGAAACACTGCCTGAGGTAGAGTCAGGATGCCCAGGAGCCTACCACAGTGGGATCACACACACCTCTCATCCACGTTGGCAGATCCAAGCACAAGAAGCCCTCCACGGACACCCCGGGACCAGAGGCTCAGCTGGGCAAACAGGTAGGCGAGGACCATCCTGATCCGAGCCTGGAAAACACAGCAGAAAGAAAGAATTACTCTGCAGTGGGAATACAGGAGGGTACACACCGCTGGCTCCACCCTAGAACAGGAGGAAGGTTTCCCAACAATGCTCCAAAAATGTTTGGGGCTTTCCAGCTCTCAGAGGAAAATCTCAAGGCATTTCTGGAGTTCCCCAGCAGTACCCATGTGAGCACGGAGGGTCCCAGCTCCTCCATCTCTGGAACCTGGGATGACGGAAGGAACTTCAGTGATGGATTTAAGTGACAGTGAGCTAGAGACAAGACTTAGACACCTCACTTTACCCCTTTTACTACTGGCACTTCTCAAAAGGGGATTTTCATGCACACAAGGGAAGGGACAGAGACATCATGGTCCCATGCAGTACAAACCTAGTGTCTCCTTCTACTGCTGAACAGAATCCACTTCCACCACAGCGGCCCAGGACAGGCCTGGCTTCTCTATAGAAGAAATGCACGCACACACACTTATTCACACACACACACACTCTGCTAGTGCTCACATTCATGCACACACTTCTGTATATACTCATGTACATGCCTCTGCAGTCCTACACATGCTCCCTTGCTTTCCCACACTCATGCACAAGCTCACATACACTTATGCATGTGGGCACACTCATACACTCATGCATATATGTCTATACTTCTGCACACATCCCTGAACATACAAATCCATGTGTTCAGACATACACTCATACAGACCTGCTAACACATTTACACACACAAATGTTCATATACTTTTGCACATACAATACACACTCTCACTTGGGCAATGCTCAACACACTAATGTACCCATACACATGGATGCATACTTTTACATTCTGCATACTTACACATTCACACACTTCATTCACATTTATGTATACATGTGCATACTTACACTTAAGATATGTCATTGTGCTCTCTCTCATACACACAGTAGTATCTATACAGAAACTTATAGGTGTGCTCGGCGTCTAGCAAGAGACCCACATTGCTAACTCATCACCAGCTGTTGCCAGGGCTATCACTGCCCCTCCCAACCTGGGAAGGGACAATGGCCCTGGTTCTGGGCACCTTACCTGTACATTTTGCAAAGCCAGGTTTTCCCTGCTGCCTCCTCCATGAGCTGAAAACAAAGGGATTTTCCCTGTCACCAGACTGAAGATGCCCACAATGGCCTTCACGGCTGGGTCAATGTTGAGACCGATGTGGTAGCTGGAAAGAAAAATGGCAAGTGTGTGTGTCTATGTGGAAGACACATAACACTTGCCACTGTGACCACTGGAAAGTGTGCGATCGTTAGTAGTCTTTAGAAGACTCATAGTGATGTGCAGCCTTTACTGTTATCCAGAACATCACCACTCAAAAGGAAACCCTGGCCCTGTTCACAGTCATGCCCTGCTCCTGCCTCCTCCAGCCCCAGGCATTAATCTGCCTTCTCAAGCTATGGATTGAAAACCACTAATCTGCTTTCTCAGTCAATGGATTTGCCTAATCTGGATATTTCATAACAAATGCAGTCACATAACTGTGGCCTTGCATCCTTTACTCAGCACAATGATTTCATTGTTTTTCCATGGTGCAGTAGGCATAGTGCATCATTCCTTTTTATGACTGGATAGACTCCACTGTATGGACAATGGAACGAACAGGCATCTCTTGGTTCGTGTGCAGAGTGCTGCTGTGGATTTTCTTGGGTAAGTAACTATTTGGGTGTTTGGTGCCTGCCTCCAGCTCTCCTGAGTGTACACCTAGGAGTGGAACTGCTGGTGGGAGCAGCTCTAGCAACGCTCAGCAAACTGAACAGACGGGTCCTTTTTGCCCAAGAGGCAAACAAATGGAAAGCTTGGAATGAAACCAAGTCTTGACTCTCTGAAAGTACTCTCTCTACCTTCTCCACTGGCACAGGCAGCCAGGGATAGAGGAAGGGACAGAAGTGGAAAGTCTCTCTGCTGAGCTAACTTCCTATGCTTCCATGCTGGAGCACACCTGATCTACAGCCATGCCTGGGATGCAGGGAGCATATGGTTTTCCTAGAATCCCACTCCAATTAAAAGAAGGTAGAAAAGAGATCAGTTCTTAGACCCATCTTGAACACTAAGCTGTCACAGGCAGAGTTGATAGCAATCTTGATCCATCTCACAGGTGCCTTGTTGTGATAAGCATTAGGGCTGATTTACCTTCCAATCTGCTGGGCCAGTTCTCCGGCCCTGCTGCATGTTTCCTGGGAGGAGTTCTCACTGGCCATGTAGCAGGTGGTCAATATGCGTCCACACAGCTCCTGAGGGGCCTGAGGGGTATAGCTGCTCTCATCCACAATGGTCCGGATGTCAGCCAACACTTCCTGATCTGGATCCCCCAGGAGATCAAGCAGAAAGGCAGTGTTATGTACAAACTGTCTGCACGACTAATCCCAGCCCATCACTAGGGAATCTGCAAAGCTAATTCAATCTATCCCCAGGGTTTCTGCATGGCCAGGCCAGGCTATCCCCCTGACAGCTGATGTCTTCACTGTGTTTTTCCCCTGCATACACTAAGGCTGTCTCCAATATTGCTGCACACCAGGGGATGATCAGACTAGGTTTGTCTAACCACAGAGCTGCTGCTCTTTCACTGGGTTACACTGTTGACAAAGGGCAGGAGGTAGATTCAGCTCTCTACGCACGGCCACACCTGGTTTATCTAGTGAGGGGCTTTCATGGCCCTGGGGTGAATATGATATGACAACGGGCACAGCCACAAACCCTCCATCAGCCTGGGGTTCTCCTCTGTCATTTTTGCTCCCCACCCCTGGAGCTCCCTGGGTCCCATGGATGTCACCTACTTCCTCTCGCCACCGCCTCACAGACCTGATGGCACATGGAATAGACCAGGCAGGCAGTAGCTGCGCTGTCCACACCACCACTCAGGGACAGGAAAAACCCCGCCTGGAATGGGCCAACCAAGCAAGGTATTAGCAGAATTTCAGAGAAGCAGCACACTGAGAGATCAGCCCACCTCTGCCCAGCAAATCCCAGGGAGACCCACATTCATGGATGTCAACTCCATCCAGCAGTGAGAATAATCCCCCATGAGCGCCGGAGGGCTAAAGAGATGGAGACTTCCACGGGGGGTTTCTCTACGGCTGACTCTCAACAAACTACAGACATGCAGCATGGCAAAGCACAAGACAGTGAGCTCTCAACCTCTAGGTAGTTGTGCTAAGTCTCCAAAGAAGCCAAAGCTGCCCATACCCATCCGGCCTCCGGTTAAGGCAGACATTACCCCTACCCTCAAGACAGGGTGAATAAATGCTTTCAGCTGAACATGGGGAAAAAAATTATGAGTTTCCTCTAGAGTTAAATACAGACCAATCAATAGAAGAACAGTGAGCTGGCTAGAAACTGGATGTCTTACCTGTTGGCTGCGTCTTAAATAATCCCAGAGCCAGCAGGCAGGTCCAAGGCTGTAGAGCAATCAGGGTGGTGAGAGTGGAGCAGTGAGGCCTGGCTCATTGTGCACCTGTGTGGCCACCCCAAGGATAGTGACATAGAGGAGCTGACAGGTGGGACTAGGCTCCTGCCATGTTCCAGTCTGTGCTGTAAGCACTTCATGTGAATTAGGGAATTTTAGTTCTGAAGACAGCTTGGGAGTTGAGTATGACCATTGCATTTTTTCGAAATCTGTGATACACTGGACAGACCCTTTATGCTAAGGTCACACAGCACAAGGACACAGCAGAGCCAGGGGTGGAGCCCAACAAGATACAAGCTTGTTGAGCCCAAGATCTCCCCCAAGGGAAGGCTCTGTAACCCACTGCAAATGCTCTGTGCCAACCCCAACCCCATGCAAACTGTGGCATCACTGGATGGAAGGTGACGGCCATGCAAGCACTGGGACCCCAGAACTGAGAGCCACCTACCTTATCTCCTCCTCAGGGCTGTGGTATTTCCACTCTACAGGCTCAGTGACAGGCTGTAGCAAGTCCTCATGGTGTGACAGAGCAAAGTCCACCTTCACTCGGGGATAGGAGTTCACCCTGCTGGCCTGTTATTGGACATGCAAGATAGAGTGAGATATCCGCATTACAAAAGCCTTCACAGGTGCCTGTGACTCCACCAGCCAGGGAGACACAAACTAGACCCACAAGGAGACCAGCCAGCTTGAATCAAGAGCAACAGGTGATGACAAGTGCCAGTGGGGGTGTGCAGAGCTCACAACCACACAAACTGTTAGCGGGGACAGAAAGTAGGCAGCTGCTCTGAAAAATACTGTTGGCCTCCCAGAAGGTCAGGCTACAGTGAAGAATCAGCAGCTCCACTCCTGAACACAGCTATTTAAAGACACTAAGCAGGTTCCCACCCACTCAAAAGTCTGTCCATGAGTATTACTACTGACAAATACCATGAATGCTTTAGTGTCCAAGGGCTAAACATACTGTGGTCCACCCACACGAGAGAACACATTCAGCCAAGAAAGGAATGACCTCTTGACATACACCATAACATGCAAAAGACTGGAAAATACTCTATAAAGTGAAAGAAGCCATATATAAATCAACAAATACTGTCTGATTCCATTCCTATGAAATGTCCAGAATGGACAGGTCCTCAGAGATAGAGACCAGATTAGTGGTCACCAGGCCAAGGGAGGGGGACAGGAGTGGCTGCTCATAGACACTGCTCTATTCGGGCCTGGAAATATTCTCACCTTGACTATATGACTGTTACAATTCCATGAATGTAACAAAAATGATAGAAACTTGCTATAATGGGTAAACCATGTGGCAGGAGAATTATAGCTCAATAAAGCTGTTATTAAGAAAATGGTCCTGTAAGCTTCAGCTTCACACTTCTGCAATGTTTGCAAAATCGCTGCAGTATGATAATCAGTGACCTGGAGTCCTATAGAAATGCTAGGACCCCTAGTTGGATGAAGGCCATGCTCACATTCAGGGGTCTGGGACATGTTCACTCATACCTTAGACCTCGTGCCAACTCCATCATGGGGGTCAGCCTTGGCTGCCTGTTGGTGATACTGCCCTCATTGTTGTCCCCAGCCCAGGGCTTCCAGTCTCCCAGGCTGGTTAGGCCTCTTGCATCACTGTCTCACCTGCATGGACCTTACAGCCCCACCTCCTGCTGCCTCAGCTGGTTGTGCATGTCTGACATCCCAGTGCTCAGACAGCTGATGACTGAGGACAGCTGGAGCCTAGGTTTTCTCGGAACCACATCTTCCATGCTCCATGGGCATTGTCACCCTGGGCCCACAGCCTCAGCCACACTTATCAATGGAGGGGACATTTTCTGAGTCCTGGACCTGCACCCACGCAGGCCTCTACTGAGTCCTCACCGCCAGGTTCCGAGAAGAAATTTCCGCCCTGTAGCTCCTTACATCCTCCAGGTCCAATGTGGCAGTCAGGACCTCCTAAAGAGGGAATTTGAAAAAGAAGTCACAATTTCCTGCCTTTCTCTTCCCCACTGGATTCTGTGACCATTACCATTGGAGTTGGCTGTGAATGAGTCACCTCTTCTAGCAAGGCTTGAGGATCTGTGGGTGGACTCCTGGTGCCCAAGGACAGGGGATAAACCAGCTGCCAACCTAAACCTTCTCCCCTTGTGCCACCAGATCATCCATCACATTCAGACATTTGGAGGTGACCCATTAATCACAGCACAAGACACAACTTTTGGAGACAGGGACAAATGTTTCCTCCAAAACAACCTGGACTGAAAGACACCCTGAGCGTTGCTAAAATGAGACAGAGGAATGTGCTTGGCAGCTGGCATGAGTTTCTGCTTTCCCTACACGCCCTCCTTTCTACATTATGGTCACTGAACACTGAACAAGAAGGCCTTTGGGACACTGTGGCCTGGAAAGCAGCACTCAAAGAACAACTAGAAAACCTCCAAGGATTGAGGGAGACCTCAATGCTACAGCCAAGGCCATTAAACGCTTGCCTGCTTCTGGGCAAGAAAAACCCCTAGAATTCCTCTCGAGGTGACTCTCCTTGGGCTACGTGTAACTGGAGGGTGGAGCAGTAATTGCTCCTCCCTAACTCCGATCCACCATGCTGCAGAAAACATCACATGAGATCTCTGTGGATGCAAAGGGCGTGAAGCAACACACATTCTGCTCCAGGCTTGGAGAATCTGCTCCTCCATGCCACATGCTTGACTCATTTTGTATGTGCAGCTACTGAAAAAATCAAAAAAGCCAAAACACTTCCGGTACAAGCATTTGGGATAAGGACTATTTTCAACCTGGTGTCATTTTTGACAATAGCAGACCTCCTGATTTGATTTGTTTTTTTGCCTCCAGAAAAAAGTAAAAAATGACACAAATTTCTGAGAGGCACTCTTATCTGCTCTCTCTTCTCTGTAAAGAAAATTAACATCCAATGAGATAAAATAAAATTCAGCCCATCTGCACTGTTATGGGTGGTTGTGTGTGCAGCTCCCCAGCCCCCCAGCTTCTCGGAGGGAATGCAGAGCCCCGGTAAGATCGTGACTCCTGTTCCCAAGGGTGGCTTGGCTGCAATGAGGACCGGTCAGCTGGGTCTTCATCTCTGGTCACTTCCTTCTGTCACATGCAGCTCTGTCCCTCACCACTGGCCCTCCATGTGTTCAAGGGCCCTTTCTCCATCAGGGGTATGGGGTCTCCTTTGCTCTCCCAAGTCTCAGAGCTGTTAGGGTAAAATTTCTCACACTAGCAAGTGCTATCTAGAGAAATCTTCCAGAAATGCTGGTCCTGATCATGGGGTCCGCAACAAACCAGAACCCTTGATCACAGGACCAGGTGGGCACTTGCTGTTCCCTGAGCAGGGGACCTCTGTTCCCCACAGTCCCTAGAATCATTCAAAAGGCCATCACAGCCTGCAGAGGAACCAGGTGGCTGCCAGTCCTCTGTCACCTCGGCACCTGATCTCAATGCCTGCTACTCACTCTGCCCCTGAGCACATGCCCAGGCAGTGCCATGTTCCATGGGGTCTTCCTTCCCAGGCTGTGCATACAGGTGACTACAATAAAAGTGCACTTCTCTCGTCTGCCATGTGTTCAGCCATCACCACAGCCCCAGGGACAAAGTGACAAGGGGAGCAGCCCAGGCAGGTCATCTGTGGAGCTCTCACCACACCGTGGGTATGGGGGAAATCGGCCTCTGAGTGTGGGGGCTGACTGGGAAAGTGCAAACGCTGCTCCCATACCGTGTTCCCGCTCACTCATACCACGTCCTCCAGAGAGAACTGGGACCCCTGTGCAAAGATGCTCCCATTCATTGCTATCATGGCACAGCCGTCGTAGTACAGCCGGTCACCGTCACAGCCCTTCTGGTTGGCCAGCAGGTAGATCCCCCCATTCTGAAAGAGACAGAGATGACAGTAAAACTGTCAATGGTGGTTCCTTAACCTCACCTGCCACTGGTACCAACTGAGATACCTGGGTGAGCCACTGTGCCCTCTTCTACTGTCTGCCCTGCTGTGGCTTCATTTGTGTCCCCATCCCAACAGAAAGGACAAGCAAGCAAGGACACAGAGCCTGCGGCTATGATTTTTCACAGTTCTCCTGGAGGCCAGGTGTTAGGTAAAATAACAATCTTCCCTTTACGGCATCCCAGTGTGGCATTGTCTTCTCCACAGGACATGATGTGGTCCTGAGAGGCTAAAGCTCTAGGTGATGCCACCGTGGTTTAAAGTTGCCTGGGAATGCTTGACTAGCACAGCCCCTCATCACAGCCATCTGCCCAGAATGAGAGCCCTGGTGCATGGACAGTCCCTGGGCGTACTGAAACTCAGGATGGATACTGTTTCTGGCTCCCTTCTCGACAGAGGTGGCAATAGTGCCTGCTTGACAGGTAGCTGTGAAGAGCAATCGAAGGCAAGGACAGGTCAGCTGAGCCCCACCCCAGGCACTGAAGGCTCAGAACGCTCCACAAAACAATGCTCTGGCAGTTCCAGAGCTACCTACCTTGGTGGTGGCCATGGTCACCAGGTCCACCCTGGCATGGGCTTTGCGCAGCACATGGTGACTGCCCGAGGCATTGGTGATGATCTCTACACCATCCAGGCCCATGTCAACATGTGGGCTGTGGCAGAGGGAAGACACTGGATGGATTCCAATGGCCCTCCCCAAGAATCTTGAGCTCTCCCTCACAGGCTCCACAGGGGATGGTCCCAAGACACACGCAAACCCTGCTGCTAGCCCAATTGAACACGGGGCTCACAGCATGGGGGACCTGGCTAACCTGTGTGGTGTCCAGAGCTCCTCACAGACCTCACTCCCGATGCAGGTATCCCACGTGGCCAGCACAGCATCCCCAAAAGGCACAGTTTCCTGTAGTCAGCAAGAAGTAACATCAGATTCTACAGAAATCCTATGCAGGCCATGAACTGGCCTAGGACCCCAGATGTCCTCAGGACTCCTCCATGAAGGCTGCCATTGTCCCAAGCCCTGCCTGTGTCCTTCCATATCCTAAGGCATGTCCAGCACCAGCTGCCACTTTCTCTCCCTAAAGCACTCTGATCACCCTATTCATGACCACAACCAGAGCTCTGAGAAGCCACCACTTGAGTTTCCATGGGCACAAATCACCATCTTCATCATCTTTATTAATAGTAATAGCTCTCATTTACCAATGATTACTCAATATGATTTGCAGCAATAAGCATTACTGTTACATGCTAGACATTTTGACCTGGTGGCCTTCTCATTCTTCTCATAGGAATGATCTAACCAAAGGTGGCAAAAAGGTTACCCAGCTCCTGAGTGGCAGGGCCAGAGGCAGAAAGCAGCTATGTCTGTTGCTAAGAGACCTGAAACCAATCGTGATGGGGCTTCCCCAGTGGTGACAGAGTCTCCCCTAAGGATGCCACATGGGTCTAATAATGAGGCTCTGAAACTAGTGGGGGCTGGTGGTAATCCCAGGGGATAGGATGACATGTTTAAAATATAGACTGACACCTAGCACATGACAGGTTAAGCCTACCCTGGCCATCTCTCTCTAGGTCAAGGTTACAGTGCTGCTGTTACTTTGTTCAGCCAAGAACAAAGCATCTTAAAGCATATCTTAAGGGTCTGGCCAGGGTCTCCTACATACATGAGTTCAATTCTCTTTATGGCCAAGAGCAGGGATGATAGTACTAACTCAAGCCTTTCCTCTCCTCTGTCTCTCCCACCAACAAGTTACTGTTACTGCAGATGCAAGGAAAGCCCTCACCCCACACCACAGTGCTAGCCAGCTGCTGGGTACTGTACTCTGCTCTCAGAGAGCCTGTCCACTCAGGCAAAGGTGGGATTCAGGCTCCCTGCCTTGATGGCACCAGGGCTCAGAGCAATGGGACGGGGTGGGGTTGCTAAAATGAAGCTCAGGAACTGATCTGTGGACTTTGGGCTGTTCACACTGGGGCAGAGATAGGGAAATCTGCCCAATTCCTAAACCTATCCCTGCTCCTTATTCACTTCTGCTCAGGGCTGACTCCAGCAATCTACCCCTGCGGTCAGTCAGATTTAGAGACACTCAGCTACAGGTTGCATGCAGCTCTGGTTGAGCAGACCCAGTTATGTGGTTCTTAGGACAGGACAGGAAGGGAAAAGAAAGAGTAGAAAGACACATGCATCTCGTGACAGGCAGGCCAATGGAGTGTTACACACATGCACACACTCACACACGCCCCTGATCTTGGGGGTCATGATGGTGTTATATTGTGCACACTGCCGTAGTTCCCAGCCTGAGAGTCCCTAGGTCCCTTGGGAGGTAACCATGCCTGGTTAGAGACTTCTTCAGCAATAGTTTTAGATCCAAACTGTGCCACAAAGATACCATGTGTGTAGAAGATGATGGACCATGAGAGTGCCATATTCATCAGTGGATTCATCTACTGTTTGCAGGTGGGGCCTGGTTTGGAGGTAGATCACTGGGAATGTAACCTACAATGGCGCATTCTTATCCTGGTCTCCTCCCTACTCTCTCTGGTTCCTGGCCAACATGGATTGAACAGATTTCCTCCACCCAAGTCCTTCCACTATGCTACTTCTGCCTTGGAGTCAACCAACTATAAACTGAAAGCTAAAATAAACTCCTCCTCTACATTGTAGGTATCACAAATTTTGTCTCAGCAACAGGAAAGTGACTAAGATACCTTCCTGAATGTCACCATGGCTATTTTGGATTAGCAAAAGCTAAGGTGTTAGGCCAAGCTTGGCCTTGCACAGCAGCTCTCCCAGGGACTCAGGGCTGCAGCCAGAAACTCAACCTGGCTTCTGGATGATTGCCAAGGGAACCAAGCCTCCATGGCAGCCCCTGCTGGTCGGGCATGGGAGATGTGCCATTGTGATGGGGAAACTGGGCTGCTGTCTGAGTCAGGGGTGGGGACTAGCCCCTGTGAGGTGGCTCCCTCCCACGGAGATTCAACAGGTCCTTATGAAGAACTATACTACATTCATGAAGTCCTTATGATGAATTTATTCCTCAACTCCATATTCCTTGTTAATTTCCTTTAGCTTTGCTAACAGAATCATATCACATGGTGATGCTGATAACAGGTATCTGTAATCAAAGACCTGCAGGGAAAGATGGATGAAGTGGGAACCAGGGTGAGGAGAGGCAGGAGAACCATCCTCCATAGGGAGCTCCAGGCTTAGCATGTCAGGCCTCAGACTCAGCCTCCACAAAAGAGGAGCAGAGCAGGGCCTTGGCAACAGAAAGAGACCCTGAGTCAGAAGTAGGTTAGCAGCGCTCAGGCCCAGGAAAGTGCCAGGCGCCAGAACAGCCTCAGGCCTCAGCTGATCCAGCAGGGCAGACTGGGGACAGGAGTGTGAAAATGAATCTTTATGTGAGGAGCAGATTCTGCAGTGGGACCAGGCCCCTTTGCTTAGCTGTGCAGTGGTAAGCAAGTTACTCAACCCTGCCACGTCTGTTAAATGAAAACCAGCTCAGTGTTTCTGAGGATTAAACCAACTCAGGTTACTTCCAAAGTCTGTTCACTTGTTCATCCATGCATCCATTCCCTCTGTCTGCCACATTCCTTGTGTACTTTGGGGTCCCTGACATCCACAGATAATGAGAACCCAGCCATTGAGCTCAGGGATATGCTCCAGCAAGGCAGGATGCTACGTTATGAAAAGATGGATGCTCTCAGTACAATGGCAGAAGTCACGGCAGGAAACAAGGCAGGCAGGGCAAAGGAATAATGGGGTGGTGACACATGCGGTGACCACCAGGAAGCCAGGGTTTGGCAGTGAAAGATGTTGGAGGGAATCTGTGCTGTGACCATCTCCTGGCGGGGGGTCTGACCACAAGGAATAGACTTGAGTTTGATTCTTGCATTCTGAAGAGGCAGATACCCCACGACTTCTGGGAATGCCAGATCATGTGAGGCAGAGGTGCTTCACAACTTTGTGTGAAGAAGAAAATGCCTGTACCCAGAGCATCCAGGAATAGAATGCCGTGGACACAAACAACTGCAGGGAAAGATGGGTGAAGATGGAACACCAGGGTGGGGAGAGGCAGGGGAACCATCCTGACCTAGGACAGTCACCCTAGAAGCTGCCTCTGACCCGCTGCCATATGGGAGGTAACAGCAGCAAACCAGCAGTGTGGCTACAAGATGCAACCAAGAGGGGGACACCAGAGTCCCCTCCTTGCAGACTCACCATGGAGATAAGACATTTTGTTCTCAGTGTAGAAAATGTGGAGAGGGCCATTTCCCGTCATGTGGAAGAAAGGAGGAACAGAAAGCCAGCTGGAGGCCAGGAGAAACAGGGAAGTGAGGAGAGGGGAGGCTGGGCCAGGAGGGAGGAGCAGCATCCAAGACCTGCCCTCACTATAGAAGTCTCTTCCTTCTTTGCTTCTTATGTATGCAAGCCACAGTACTTTCTGTGACTTAAGAGTCCCTGCCTGGCCAGCCCACCGGTAGCTAGCGTGGCAATGTGTGACTGAAAATGAACAATGAACTTCACACATGAGACTCACCTGCTTTGTCAGGTCCTGCAACATCCGAGGGAGGAAATATTCCTCTATTTGCCTGCAAAGGAGAACACCACAGACCTGAGACTGGCTGACTCCAGAGAGAAACAGGAGCCTCACCTTGGGAGTTAGCACAACCAAGGCCAAGTTCAGACTGCTGTGCGTACTGCTTCAAGGTGAAAGGGAAGTACGGGGTGGAAGGGATGCCGCTCTGTGGCGCTTTGCTATGAGACAGGGCACTGCTCTGAGTGTTTCAGCTCCCAGGCATGGATGCACAAGGACTGAACAGCTATGACTCAAAGGTTAGTTGAAAACAGGCCACACTGCCCAAGAGAAAGCAGGTGGAACTGGGCCTGGGCATGTGGCTCATTGGTAGAGTGTTTATCTAGCATGCACAAGGTCCTGGGTTCAATCCCCAGCTATGCAAAAAAGAGAAAAGCAGATGAAATCCTGCCATATGGCATTAACCAAACATACAACCACAAACCTGTATCAGTGAAATTATAAAGCTCCACAGCTGCATGGAAGGCAGAGGGCTGAACACACAGCTTTAGTGGAAGGCGTTCCAAACAACCATACTAAAAGGCACTGTATGGTTACAGAAGTAGATGGTTCTTTGATTTCAAAAAGGCTGTTACGGGACCAGGGATTTGGCTCAGTGGTGTAAGCACCTGCTTGGTAAGCGTAAAGTCGTGAGTTCAATCCCCAGTACCAAAAACGAAAAAAAAAAAAAAAAAAAAAAAAAAGGCTGTTACAAGGCCACACTTCAATATCTGATTGGCTCTATTTCTTCTTTCCCTTGCTTAAGAGATCACAAGTGCCTTATGGGAATAGTTGTAGCAGTTCTCTTTTATGTAAACAAAGTGTTAGAGGTTCAAAAATTGAAAAAATGATGCCGTCTCCCTCATTTTCTCTTCTTCACTATTGCAGATATGGAACAAGATTCCTGCAGACCTCTCCGCAGCCCTGTCATCCCAATAGGCCATCTGCAGGTCTGATGATGGCTGTGTTGCTGCATCAAAATTCATTTCAGAGATAGGGGCCCTAGAGCCCTTCCCCTTCATCCTTGCTTTCCTCCTCCATCCATCAGAAGATCCACTTAGTGCCAGACCAGAGAAAGGCCACCAAGAAGTAGCACAAGGCCAGCTTTCCTTCTCACCCTCCACCCCAAAGCACCCCTAAGGCCAGCCCACACCCGGCAGAGGGCTACTGAGGCTCATCACAGTTCACCGAGAGCAGGCACATCAAGAACAAAAGTCTCTTAGAAAGCCTATCACCAGCTGGCCCAATCTGTCATTCTGTCTCCAGAACTCTGCTGCTTTTTGAGACACACTTTCCCTGCTGGGCACTGCTGTGGCAGCCTCTGCGTGCCCTTCCCAGCCAACCTCCCCTTGAAACTCCTGGCAGTGTATTTCTGCCTACAAACCATTTTTGGCTATGACAATTGCAAGTCTTCTCTACCTCTGTGAGCTACAATAGGCCCCATGTCCCCTGTATTGCTGCGATAATCATGGGGTATGTTTTGGTTTGTATCTAGACGTTTCCACAAAGCCTCATGCAGTCATAGGAGTTTTTTCAGAGGTGGCTGAATATAGAGCGTGCAATTGATTCATAGCACAGTGCCGAGATCAAGGGTGCTAAGATTAAGGGGCTGGGTGTAGTCTGCATACAATATAAAAGACAGAAAGAGGCTTGTCTTGCTCTCCCTTGTTGCTTTTGTTATCTTCTGTGCTATAAACTGTTCTCTGACATGTGCCACCCTGCCTTGGAGCCAGCCAGTTGTAGACTAAAACCTCTACAAACTGTGAGTTAAATAAACCTTTCCCCCTTTAACTTCGGGTGTCAGCCATTTTGTCTCAGCAACAAAAAATACAACTAAGGTGCTTAGATTTGGGAGGCTACCTAAAGAATTATTTTTAAAGCATCAATTCTTTAATTCTCAGCAGCAAAGGCTGAATCCTGGCTTCCAAATCATGGTGCATTAGTGGCTCTAGGATATTTATCCTAATCAAAGGATATGTTTGCAGGAGGAGCTGGGGGGTTCATAGGAAATTGCTGAAATGCATCTTGAATGAGCCAGTGCCCAGATCAAACCCAGAAACAGTGGTATCTAGAATAATAAGTGAAATAACATAAACAGTGCACACCAGCACTGAATGCATGGCAGCTCCACTGTGGAGAGGAACCTTCTCCTTGGCAGGGCTGAAAGATATAATCCTGCACTGTTAAGAATGCAGATTCTGATGCTAGACAGATATGCAGCATGAGCAGGAAGGTAGGTGGCCTGAGTCCTGCCAAGTGACTGGGTGTGGAAAAGGAAATTCCTAGCACTTCCCAGTGGCTTTAGACTGCAGTGGTTTAGGACAGGGAGCCATGTAAAGAGGTACTCACTGACTTGGTAGCCTGTGCAGGAGAACTGAAAACACACATTTCTTATACTGCCAAGGTATAACATCAAGTTCTCTACAGGGGTGCAGAAGCAACTCTCCCTAAGAATCAGCTTGGACCCAGCAGAATAGTGACACAGAATAATAATACATGATAAAGGGAGAAACATTCAAGTGATAACACACAGGGAAACTAATTCCAGGCTTGGGAAAGTTCAAGAGTGGTTGCCAGGCAACCTAAAAAGCTAAGCAGAGAGAAACACCAAAAACACAACAAAATGATCCGGCAGTTTGATGAACGCAACACTAGAAGAGTCCAGTCCTGTGAGATTTCACTGCAGGGAAAGTGTGGGGTGCTGAGACTAGAAGCTCCTCTCCTGGGACTAGTAGAAAGCTAGGGGCCCATGACTTCTTGTCCCAGCACAGACCCCGAGCATCCCACTGCTTGTAAGTGCCTGACACTTACCAGCCAGGCCTCCAAAAGCATAGAATGAGGGGCTCCAGTACGGGGGTCTAGAATCAAGAGTGGTGCACAGGCTACAACTCTTGTAAGTATCTTATTTCTCCATCAATTTTGAAAAATAATTTTGTGTAGTACATCAACCTGAGTTGATGTTTGAAGCTTGAAGTTTGCTTTCTTCAAGGCTTGAAATATTGCACTCAAATCTCTCCTTGGACTTGAGGATTTGTGTTGAGAAGTCTACTGTGATTCTTCTGCAGGGCTTTCTTTTATAGGTGGTTTGTTTCTTTTCTCTATCAGCTTTTAATATTCTGTTCTTGTGTTGGATTTCTGGAATCTTGACTATTTTATGGCTTGCTGTAGATTTTGTTGAACTATAGCTAATTGGATTTCTATATGCCTCACTTACTGTATGTTAAGTTTGTTTTCTCTTTTAGGGTCATTTTCTGTGATGATGTCTGTGAACTTTTTTTTTTTAAATGTCATTTGCTCTATCTCCTACTTTTTCACTGACTTCAATCAACCTTATGTTATTCGCCTTTGCATCATCTAGCAGCTGCTGGAGAGACGTCTCAGGGTCCCTCGCCATTTTAAAGAAATCTTTCTTTTCATGATTGCTAATCAGTGTCTCACACTGTTCTTCCTCTTTGACTCCTGGGTTTGAGCTGGACATCTGTGGTAGCATCTTATTTAAACATATTCTCATTTTCTATTTTTTTAGCTTAATTCCTCGGTTGATGCCTGTAAACTGTATATAGTGAGTAGTTTTATTTCTAGCATTTAGAATGCTTAGGAAATGACTGCTTCTCAGAGTGTCTTTCAGGTATAGCTGGCTTTGTGTTTTGAGTCGGTTGCAAGATCCTACCTGTTACAGTTTATCTGGGGTGAGAAGGTGCTACCTACTTGGCCCAGTTCCTGGATCTCTGGCACTGGTATACAGTATTTATGATCATTAAGCAATCTCAGTCTTGGTATACCACACTTACGTCACTTTGGACAGAGTGGTACAGTCACCAGTAACAACAGCATCAAACACACCAAGAAAACGACAGATTGAGGTAACTATTAATGTGTCAACGTTAACCATATGAATTAGTTTTGTGGTAAAGTAACAAAATCTAAAAAGAACCAGGAAATTGTATGTAGTAAATAAGCCCTCGATATGGCAAATTTATCCTCAGGGAAGAAAATTTAAAAGGAGTTAGGAAGAAAAAATACAGAAATAGTAGAAAAAAAAGAGATTAGAAGCAAAGCCAAAGGACAAAAGAAGATCATACAGAGTTTGGGAAAGTGGCAAAGAAGACAGGAGGGAAAGAGGGAAAAGGAAATAAATACAAGAACACAAGAGCAAAACAAAACAAAACCTGGGAACCACGCTCACCCTGACATACAAACAAGAATATGCTGCTACATTCTAGAGTCTGGAGGCCAAATCTCACAGAGGCTCTTTCTCTGCTGCGTACCATTCCACCATCTTCCAGAGATCAAATACTTCTAATCTAAAGTTTTTTTTTATTATTCATTGTGTATGAGAGGGAAATAAAGACATCTACAGGCAATATTGCAAAATGTTTACCTCCTTCAAATCGTTCTTCTGAGAAGCTGCTGGAAACCGTGTCTCAAGGAATGAGCAAATGACAAGAGGAAGATGTTAGAGCCTAGGGAGAGGATGGGCTATTGAGACAGAAAAAGCAAGCTGAAGGTAGGCGGGGATAGAAAGGAGGGCAGCCAGCCAGCTGTCTGACAATGCAAGGCAGGCACATAGACAAAGCAGATGGAAGGCATGCATGACTCCCAGGAGAGGAACAGCGCAACTCTGGGCATAGTCGTGGACTTACACATATCATATGATACAGGAACTGAATCATATCAATGCTGAGCTACCATTTAACCAAAAAACTAGGAGGTGGCCGTATTAAGTGAGATGAACTGAAGATAAGGAGTATTTAGCACACTACATTTTGTTCTTGTAGAGCAAGAAATCAGGAAATGACAACATGACTGCTCATCACAGCACAGCGATGGTGAAGATATGGAGGCAACTTAAATGTTCATCAGCTGATGAACAGAAGCTGATGAGCTGATGAGCCTCAGGCACACACCCATGCTGGAATATTACTCAGCCTTAAAGGAAGCTTAAACATACTTTCTTTCCTTTTCATTATTACAGTATCTATTGTACATTTTAGATCTTATTACCCTTTCAGGTTTTTTTTATTTTTTATACCAGGGAGACAATATGATATTTATAAATGTGAGCTTGATTTATTTCACTTATGAGTATGATCTCAAGATGCCTCCATTTACCTATAAAAGCCTCAAGATTATCCTTTTTATAGCTGAATAATATTCCATTGTATAAAATTTCACATCTTTTTTTTACGTGTTCTGCAGGTGATGGGCATTTAGGCTGTTTCCAAGACTCAGCTATTATAATAAATTGTGCTGCTATAAACATGGATGCACACATATCGCTGTGGCATGACATTTTCAATTCTTCTGGGATACCAAGAAGGGGAATAGCTAGTTTTCTGAGGAATCTCCACACTGATTTCTACAGTGGTTGCACCAGTCTGTACTCCATAAAGGAAAGAACAACTGGGACAGGAGAAAGGAGGAAAGGAAGAAAGGAAACGATTATATGTGGGTTGGTTAACATATATAAATGTATGTATGTATATGTATGGAAGATAGATAACTGTACTAATGATCTCTGTTAGTTCATTAGAAAGAATTATTTGTGCTGTCATTGTTTGATTATTTTTGTGCTTAGCTCTTGTAGCCTGAACAACTACTTCTAAGCTAACTATGCAATATATTAACTAGTATTAATTTCCTACAGGTTTTTTTGTAACTGTATCATTTCTATGCTTTTTGTTTTGCTTTTTAAAACAAAAAAAAAAAGAGGAAATGCTAATACACTACAGCATGGATGGCCCTTGAGAACGTTACGCTCAGTGAAATAAACCAGTCACACACAAAAAAAATTCCTGCGTAATTCCACTCATACAAGGTCTCTAAAGTCATCAGATTCATAGAGACAGAAATGAGGGGCTGGTATGGGGAGTCAGCGCTTCACGGGGACTTCACCTTAGGAAGATGATGAGGTTTCAGAGATGTTTGTACAGCAGTGTGAGTGTGCTTAATGCCCCTGAACTCTGTGCGCCTAAAAATGGTTCCAAGGGCAACTTTAATGTTATGTGTGTTTTATTATAATTTTAAAAATGACATTATAGACTTAGGTAGAAATATGGAAGCAGGGCTGAGAGAAACAAGAAAAATTGCTTAGTACAGTCTTACTGGGAATAGGGTAGGTCGGAGAGGAAGGGGGCAGAACAATGATGGGTTTTTGTTTTGTTCTGGCGTTAGTTTGCGATCAAAATATACACTGAATGTTGAAAGCTTTAAAAAGGTATGGCAGTAGAAGATACATTGTCATAAATTCCCCTGGAAATACTCCCCTTCCCTTCAAACACTAACCCCACTGTTCTTGCCACGTTCTGAAGCACTCCTGGAATAAATAAAAATTGTGTGAACCAATTCAGGATAACCAATCAAAGGAGGCAACCAGGACAACATACCTAAAGTCACAAAAGGAAACTTTCCAAAATGTTTCACAAAGTAGTAAGAACAAACCAGCAATATACTTTTTAAAAATTATGATTCATTGTATTTCTCAATCAGACTTCCTATATAAGAAACAACCATGTCTAAGTAACAGGCAAGGGCTGTAGCCCTGGTCTTGTGTCCTGCCATGACCTGGGGCCAGGGCTATACACACTGACAATGTTTACTGAGGACACTGCAAAGAGAGGTCCTGGACATGCTACCATGCATTGGGGCTATAACTCACCGGCTCCTGCACCATGGGGTAAACCAGCGCAGCTCACGGTAGTTGGCTTCATTTGCCAGGGCCATCTTGGGCCTGATGAGCAGAATCCTCCTACAGCAGGAAACAGGGCAGGTCAGGACAAGCTGCTGAAACCAGGGAGCCAGTTTGCACAGTCATCACCAACCAAGCCAGGTTATACATGGAGTCGGTTCAAGAACCAAGCCCTGAATAAATCTCTTCCTCCTCTGAGCTTCAGCTTTGTCTGCAAAACAGGTCTCCACAGCTCCATCCATGACTGACAGTCCACAAGGACAGAAGGGCGAAGGCCTAAAAGTGTACCTCACAGGCAGCTAAGGAAAAGGACTGAAAGGGGTTCTCCCTCACCTAGATTAACATTCAGGCTGAAAGATCGCGCCTCCAAGCCCCACCCCTCTGGGTGTCTCTCCAAACTTTCTGGTTTGGTGTCCTCATTGAGGATATCTCCTGAAAAGGGCTGTGGCACATGGCTCCCCAGGCCCCACACAGGTCCCCACAGCCTCCAGCCCAGGGCCCACCTACTTGTTAAGAAAGATGACTCTGCAATTGTAGCGGACATTTCGGTGCATCACAGGCCTGGGGGAGAAAAGGAGGGATGTGAATGTCTGTAGTGGTTACATTCTCAAAATAAAGGTCATTTATATTTCACACTTCTTATCTTTTCAGCTGCCGCCGGTCCTCCCCGCACAGTTCTATGAGTTCTGACATAAAGCAAGTAGAGGCAGCAGTATTCTAAACCCAAATATTAAGTTCAGTCATCCAAGTATTGTAATCTTCTTTCTAGTTTTCCTCACAATTCAAAAAGTTATATTTGTAATACCATTGAGATGTTAGTTATTGGAATCCCAGCAGGTTAATTCCAACCTACAATCCACAGGGAAAGTAAAGACACAAAGGCTTATTCCAAGTTAAGGGCAGCCAAGGGGTCCTAAATCCAATCCTTGTGAGGACCTGCAGACAAAGGCCTCCATCCTAGGCCTCTCCCAGCCTTTATTATCTTGTGTGTGTGTGGGGGGGGGGGTGTTCCTCAGGGATGAGGGATAGTGAGGATGTCAGAGATTACTGAGTAATTTGAGCTGGCTGGCCAGGTGCAAGAATGGCATCTCTAATTTGCAGAGATAAAGATATGCAGAAGGATCAATTTACATAACCCAATTAAGGTAGCAGTGGAATTGTTTTGCTATCACTTCTGGTAAGTTTCTGATAATGCAAACTCTTGTGCTCTGGGTAGTCATTGCCTCTTAACTTGAGGCTTTTATCTTGAGGCTCTTACCCAGTTGACATTCCCCCTGAGCTACTTGCTCTAACATCTTACCACCTCAATCCTATATTGTGGAGAGCACCTTGCAAGGAAACAGGAAATAGTCTGATGATTATAGACTTTGCACATTAGCACCTTGGCTAGCCTTATTTGCAATGTTCAGAGCCAATTGAAGAGAAAGAAATACCCTAGCCAGCCTTTTACATATCAGTATAAGGAAATGAGTCTCCAAGTAATCAAAGTCACAGCAATTGTTTTGGATTCAAAGGGAGTCACTGGAGTTGTCTCCCACACAGCAGCTCCCATTATAGAATCAAACTGCTGAGGTTTTAGTACATCGCTTCCTCGGATCCTTCAACAAGAGAATCATAAGGCTCTTCTGTAGCTTTCTCAAGTCCAGTTTACAAATGAGCCAAAATGCTTCCACTGCCAGGTGGCAAATACTCAAAACTGGACAAGATTTTTAGATGTACAAGGGTATCATCAGGCCTCAGGGCTCCTCCTCCCCTGGATGTCCTCAATTTTGGGTAACTGTCTGCCTCTCTCCTTCCTTGCCTCTGCAATCTTATCCTCTTGACATGTGTCAGCTCCCAATCTTCACAGCTTCTCTTCCATGCCCTGAGCATACTTGCGCATGTGACTTCTCAGGCAAATTTGTATTCATTTCTCTGCAAAGTTGAAGAGGTTGGGTGGCAGGGGTGGGGCACCAGGCAGGATGTCATATGCTAATAATGCCTGGTGTTTATATAGCATGTTACCTGGCAAAGGAGTTCTGCAGGTGGAATAAAGTTAATGACTTTGAACTGAGAGCCAACCCTGTTCTGCCTGAGGTCCTCATATGTACGTGAGAGTCCTTGTATGAGGGAAGGTTGGAGAGGCAGATGTGAAGACAACAGCTGGGCACAGTGATGTAAGCACCAAAAGGCCCTTGAGAACAGACAGGAGCAGGGGCATAGCTGTAGACTCTGTCCTAGAGTCTTTCAAGGGAACCAGACTTGCCACTGGCCCATCACACACTTCTGACTCGAAGACACACCATGAAAGAAATCTGTGCTCCTCTTTGCTTTCTGTTGTGATTATCTGTCATCACAGCACTAGGAAACTAACACAGTCTACAATAATCCTAATCTCCATCAGTTTGAATAGACTGGATTGAAACACCTATGTATATGCTGCTCAGAAGGACATCACTGAAGAAATGTCACAGCGAGATCAACTGTCACAATGTGAGGCCTGGTTACCCAAACCCTGCCACTGCCATGCACTACGGGAATCCACACACATGGAACCCACACTACAGAGAGCTTCAGGCTTGCCATGTCAATGGCAAGTGACATGGAGCCAACCTCAAGCTTTCCCATGAGAGGAGTAAAGCTCTCTGCATGTGATAGGATGAATGCCACCCTGCCATTTGTGCAAAGTGTATGCCCGAAGCTTCTGGAACAACCTACAAAGCTGCTCCCAGTTGCCTCTGCCATGGGAGAGATTTTAGGTGGTCATAAGGTCAGGATGGGTAAAAAATTCCTACTCATCATCTACAGGTCTGGACAAGTTGCATCCTTGAACTTGCATTTTTTCTGAGCTTGCTTGTCTACACCCTCATGATGGCACTTACATCCCCACATCACAGATGATATCCTGTGTAACTGGAGATTCCAGAAGGGCCGCCAAGACTTGCAGTGAATGTAAGAGAGTATCCGACTCATAATAATGATCCCAACATCCATAGCCACTGGAAAGAGAGGGAGCAGGTGGGTGAGTGGTCAGGATGGAACATAGAATCAAATTACATCAAAATGAGACAGCAGTGGGACCAAGTACTGGTATTTCTTCATTGCTTCCTGGGGACTTCTTTTGCACAGTCAGAATCAGAAACAGTTTCCCAACGAATGGTGCACCTTACAGGAAATGAAGAAACATCAGGCCCTAACTGTTGTACATTAGCAAAAAGCTTCGTTATATTTGTATTATACCAAAACACCTGTAATGTGGCCTACTGTTCTACATGCCTGTTTCTTTTCCTCTGGGTGACCTAACTGATTAATTATTAATCAATGCTCTCCTCTGTAAAGAATTGTAAATTCCTGCGAGACTTCTCTGTCCTCTCCTAAGGGAAACAAAGGTCTTCCTCATTCCTTAGCAGATCAAGGACTTTCTCATTTCCTGATCCATGCCCATGACCTTTACTTTGTGAGCTGTGATATGTACTGAGAGGCGGCAAGTATAAAAAGGGACACACACAGCTTTTGCAATCTCCAACTGCACTATGTCACTGGGACCAGGATAAAATAAATCAGCGCTGCTTTTTAAAATATGTTTTTGACTCATTTTTTGAACTCGAGTTTGGGGACTCGTTTGTGGATTATAAGACTAACTCTTTCTCAATTTCTAGTTACAATGAGGAGCTATATTTTAAGTCACCATGTACTTGTCTTTGGAAGATTTTGACCTTGGAAGATTTTAACCAAAGTCATTGTGAGCCACAAGAAAACGTTGCAAAAAAAAAAGCTGGAACCAACAAAGAAAAAAATTCGACAGATGAGACAGATCATTGCCAAAGCCTCCCCTGTAGCGACCCGATCTCTAGCTTTACACGCTCCACCTGAATGGTGGCCTTGCAAAAGGCACATCCATATCCTAACCTCAGGAACCAGGGAACTTTAAGTTACGATGCTGCAGATGCAATCAAGTCAAGGCTCTGAAGATGAGGCCACCCCAGATCTTCCAGGGTTTCCTTTAATGACCAGTCTGTTTCCATTCTGTCAGCTCTCAGGCCTCTGGGTAGTAACAAGTGCTGCTATGCCAGGCTGCTTTTGCTGCTACCAGCGACCTCCCACTCTTTCTGCTGGGCAACCTGTAACAGATGACCCAACAAGCAGCCGGGCTCACGCACTTGGTCACCTTCCATCTCCAAAGCCTACAAGTGAGCAGAGAAACAGGCTACTTTGCATGTGAGGGCCGGGTCCAGGCCACTTTTTTCATTCCACAGGCCCCTCTAAGGAGGCAGCTGGACCCTGGCCAGTAAGAGCAGGAAGAGGGAGAGCTTAAGGAAATGACTGAGTTCCTCCCTTGCCTCAGTTTCCTTTCTGTCAGTTGTCACAAATATTAAACAAGGACCGCTGAGCACACTGGTTTACCCTGCCTGAATCAAATCTACCATCTTTAGTTAAAAATCCTTCCCTTTTGGAAATGACACGCGTAGACTAAGGAATAGGAAAAAGGAAGCGGAGAATATGCTAAGGAAGAGATGAAGCCCTCCAGCAGGAGGACTGT